TTCGTTACTGGACGGAGGAGGAGATCAGAACAGTGGACTAAAATGAAAAAAAAAATTAAAATTAAGGAAGAGATCATATAGAATATTATGTTTTATGTTGAACCTTTTGGCTTTAAACCTTTTATCTATAGCGCTAAAATTGTATCCACTTCTTAAGACACAATTTTTAGACCCCATGTAGAGTATGAATATAGATGTTTATGTGTCTACAATTGCACTCATGCAGATCAAAACCTTCATGATGGTTTAATTGCTAAATCCTAAATTGTATTGGCTCCCTTTCCATAGTAACGATGTTCAGATATGGTAAAATAGTATATTGTCTTTTGAAGTTTGTACCAGAAATCAGAAATCAGAAAGTTTTCTGAAAATCACTCTGCTTTAGCATTTTCTCAGAACAAATGTATTATATTGCTCAGTTGGCACAAGCCAAAGATAAGGACTTTGACAAGGATATGAGATAACTATACATGCAGCCATTTTGTCTAGCTGCAGATTCACAAAGTGCAGTGCTCACAGGAAACCTGACAGTCAGCAGCCTTTCGGTCAATATGTAATTAAAAGTTGGCAACAAATATTAAGAGCACACTGTGTGTGTTTACAAAGATCAGCATGCTTAGTGGAACTACTATACATTAAATTTATGTATAAACCCATAAGGGGACTCTATGTCTATCTTCTAAGCACAATGTATGCAATGTTTAGATAAAATGTGTTCTGTGGACTAATATTTATCTCCAGGATGAGGCAAAGCAGCTATTAGTTCTTCTTTTTAACACAAAAGCATTATTATAAACAATTTGTTGAGTTTCAAAGATTCATGGCAGAGTGGATAAAAACCGTCTGGATAAAGAAATCATTACAACTAATGGTGCTATTAATCATGTTTATTATTGATGAGATAAAAAGAGAGAGAACACACATCAGCATCTATTATTCCCTTCCATGCTAACTGAGCATATTCTACACCCTCTAGAGATGACACACACATCCAGAAGCCTCCTATAATAAATACCATCCTATACATTATATACAGAACTCAATTGGTGAAAACTTTATTTCGTCTGGACCCCAACAATGTTGCTCAATGACATCGGCCTAATGGAGACATCGTTGTGCAATGCCAATTTTTGGAAGAGACTTTCTTGCTGCAGATGCACAAGTTAAATGTATTGCTATCATGATGGCATTATTGTTGTGGTCTGCCAGCGTCCTGTGGAGCTGGCAGCAGAGTCAGACAGTGAGGAGGTTGGAGAGGAGCATGGGCCAGTCCTGGAGTCTGGGGAAGGCTCGAATGAGGTCTCTACGTTTGAAGCAGAGAGGAGGCCAGGGCCATCTGGGCATTATGTGCTGCCTCCGGAGTCTCCAGAATCAGACATCAGCAGAGGAATAAGTGGAGCCTGTTCCCAGTATGCGCATGTGCAGAGCTGCCAGAAGGCAAGAACAGTTAAGACAAAAGGGACAACTTGGGAGTAAGGCTTGGAGGTGATTGGCCCCTCCCAGGGGACATAAAGGAGGAGCAAAGGCACATGAGCCTTTGCAGGAAGTAACTTTGTTCGTTACTTTGTTCTGGTCGTTTAAATTCTGAAGCTCCATTTTGACTCTGCTCCAGGTGGCCTTGCTAAGCTAATTGCCAATTAGGTCTTTGGCAGCATTTCAAGGAAGATAAAGATGGGTGCTTATCATCCTTATCCTGAAGGACTGTGGCCGACTACAGTCGGATTCTTTAAAAACTATTTGTGATTCATTACGGGCTGTGAATGAACATAATTCACAGTCTTTGAAATAAAAATAGGGATTTTGGGATGAAGCGTGTGCTTTTTACTATATCAGGAAGCCTAGGTCAGAACAATTACAGTAGTGGGGAGAGTGGTGTACCTGAGCAACATTCTGGATAACATAATGACAAAACAGACTAGGATTATTATTTTACTATGGAATCTATGCTAAATGACTTGATGCCCCATTAAGTCACATAGGATAAAGGAACCTGTAGAGCAGAGGCTCCCAATATTTTGTGCACCATGGAAAGAGGTTTTTTCACAAATGGGAGGCGGCATAGTTTTGCATGCTGCCTGCATCCTGCGGATGGGGCTTTGCTTGTTTGCTCAGCCCAGTTTCTGGAATGCTGTAGACTGGGAACTGGGGATCCCTGCTGTTGAGGTTGGACCATGAAGCGTTGCAATGAGGTAGAAGTACTCCTACATGGAAGAAACAATTTATAATCTGAATCCAAATGAATATCTCTGTCTTCTTAAATGTAATAAGCCAGGAAGGTCAAAGGTCAAGAAAATAACTTGTCCAAAAGAACCTGAACAGAACCATAGACACTGCTGTACTCTGATCTGCCAAACCTATTACCTTATAACTTAAGTGATCCATTTTTATCCTCATAATATGTAGTCAACTCCATAGTAAACTATGAGAGTTCTGTGTAATTGCATCTATTTATGGGTAATATAGTGAATTTCACTGAATATCTTTGCTCAGCACAAATGGAAGGGGTTTTCCATCCCTAGCACAGAATGTCAAGGCAACCTTGTGAGGTAATCCAGGCAAGAAACACAGCCAAGAGTACTAGCTCTACCTTTATTTTAAGGTTACATTATCTTGCAAATTTCTCTTCCCCTTTCCTTTACAATCCAAGAAATGTTTTTGACAGGGTGGCATATCCCCATTCCTTTTCTGTAGTCTAGACGACAGCCCCTCTTTCTATCTCCAAAGCTCATTCCCACAAACCATTATATCTTGTGATGTTCCAAAATTTGCCTCAAGATTGGAGAAAGCCTCCAAAGCAGATTTAGGAAATGTAAGCAATTATAAAGGAGAAGAAAGAGCCAACAATGTTTGTAAAGCCTGTCCTTATGATACTAGAAGGAAACAAATGTTAAACAAATGGTGTCACACCTCCTTACCTATTAGAAAAGGCTGGTTACCTTATGGAACTTTTACAGGTTGTCCTAGATGTACAACAGTTCATTTAGTGACTGTCCAAAGTTACAGCAACACTGAAAAAAGTGACTTATGACCATTTTTCACAATTATGACCTTTTCAGCATGCCACAATCATGCGATCAAAATTCAGGTGCTTGGCAACTGGTTCATATTCATATGTTCATCTTTTGCCAACTTATGACAAGCAAAGTCAGTGGGGAAGCCAGATTCATTTAACAACCAGGTTACTAACTTATCAATTACAGTGTTTCACTTAACAACTGAGGCAAGAAAGGTCCTAAACAGGGCAAAACTCGCTTAATGAATGTCTCACTTAACTATAGAAATTTTGGGCTCAATTGTGGTCGTAAGTCGAAGATCATCTGTACTTCCTTGGAAGTAGCTGAGGATGGAAACATTAAGCTTATAAAAGGATTTTGTACTGTAAGTGACAAACAGACCTATGGAATTAGATGGAATGTATAATGTTAAACAGGTAGCAATGTAGCTTTTTGATGCTGGTGCTAATGCAAATATCACTTGCATTTGACAATTAGATTACTTTAGGTTTTGTTTAAAAAGTCTGGTTCAGTTTTGAGTGTTGCTTTTAGCAATATATTAATATCCTATCTTTCTGCTATGTATGATGGTTAATAAATGAAAAATACACTGCAGCGTAACTCTACTAGACAGAGCTTTTATTATTTTTCTTTGCTATATTTAAATCACATACAGAATCAAAATTGACTCATTTGAGATACAAGCAAAGATGCATAAAAACTGCATACATGAATCATTTTAGATACATGTAAGTAGCTGTTACAAGTTTTCCATATTTTTAAAAACAATAGTTTGCAAAACAAAATTATACTATGTTTTCAAATATTTAGTAATGATACAATTATAAAAAAAAATAATATTGCTAACATGATATGTCTTTTATCCCAAAGGATCTCATTTCTAATCATAAGGTCTTGGTTAATGCTATGAAAATGTTAATAAAAGTATTGACTGTGGCTTAAATGAATTGTACACAATAGTACACTGAGGTACCACCTCTCTAAACTACTACAGATTGACTATTTCATGTTCCCCTGACTCATAATCAGAATTGGTAGAGTTACATATTGTACCATCCAAAATGTTTTAGAAAAAGAATCAGAGTGCACAAACATTTTAAGCCTAATTTAGCTTTTACTAAACTCCTGATTATAAAGGTATTAATTATAGTGGTAGATATCTCAAAAGAACTGATGTTCCATAAGATTTTTCAAAATGTTTTGACAATCATTTTTAATATTTGGTCCAAACAGTCTCTGCATTAATTTGCATGGTTCTGTATCATATACTAACATGATAACTTGCAATTCTGAGTCATCACTGTCTTAAACATTTATACTTAGGTTCATAATTCATGACTTGTAATGCTGAGAAAGATCATTGAAATACTTTCAATGTCTGAATAAGTTAATATATTGGCAGATAACGTATGGTTTTTTCCCCTCTGGATGATACAGAACATAGTGAACTGTTAATTTAATAGGCGCAATTAGACTTAATAGATTTTTTTTGTCAAATCCATAACTAAACAAACACTTCTAGATTGGCTGCCTAAAATTGCAGAATAGCTCTGACTCACAGCTTCATCATCACTGGGTTTTATACAACTCAAGAGTCTGATATAATTGTCATCTTAAACTTACAAAAATAGATTCTGCAATTTTTATGAGTGCTGACAGATTTGCTTTGGTTTGTTTACATGAACATATATTATATATTCTTATACATTTTCAAAGTGTGAGCCAAAAAGTTAAGCAACTGTAACAGCCTGAGATTAACTTGAAATGATGCATTTGTTTGTTTTGTCTTATATTCATATCACAGCCATACTTCACTCACTAGTATAGATATCTTATCCTAAAGGATTACACTTGTTTACTATGCACCTGAATCTTACTCATCCAATTAGAACTGCTATATATTTATGGAGTCATCACATCCCTAAGAAATCCAGATTAACACCACCACCACCCCAAAAAAAACTGTAAGCAAACTTTATATTTCACATTAAACACTATGTTCAATTGCATGTGATTATGAAATGAATTATTTCACGTGTTCAGCTTTTTATTTGTACAGCAACCAAACTTTGAAAAGTTCATGCACAGTATTGCCTTCTCACTTAAACTGCCTGGCAGCTAATACTCATAGGAATACAATCATCCATACTGAAGATAATATGTAACTTTTATGATTTGTAGTAGCAATCATCAATAACCTGATCTGCCAAGATTGAAATGTCTTTTAAATCTAGGTAAGTTCACAGATAATTACTTTACCGATAAGCTCCACATTAATGCACTGTGTGCAACAATTTAATTTCATCTGTCCCAAATTCCAATTATTCAATGGAATAATTTATCATAACAAATATTGTTTGGATAACTTTGGATTTTGTGAGAGGGGCAAAGAATCAGTCAACTTATTCACATCCTGTATAATTTTATATATTTGTCCAAGCTAAAGATAACTAATTGTTTTAATCTTTCTTCATAGGATGCTGTAATTGATTATTACTTTGGAAACCATTTTATGCCTTTTTTCAGTTTTAAGATTCTTTGAGAAGAGTACCGTGTGATTAGATTGTAAAACTAGAAGTGATTTTTAAAATATTTTTCCAATAGTTCTTCTCATTACTTAGCATCCATCAAAAAGTTGATTCCCCCACTCCAAAAACAGAGATCAAATTTGAAAGTGGATCAGATTTAGCTGCTGTAGAAAAAAAAATCCAGGAAAAAAGTCCTGATGAATCATCATTGAGGCAGTTCCACAGTACATTAGAATATTGCTGACTGTAGATCTTCAGCATGTTAAGTCTCTACTCTTTGCTTCTTAATGTTTTTGCACCAGAAAGTAAAGAAAGAAAAAAAGAGGGAAAAAGAAAAAGATTGGGATTTTATTTTCCCTTTTTGCGCATCTGCTAATTTATGTTTATAAACATTTGGACCCCTTAAAATACAGACTGTAGATCTTTACATTAGTTGTATTGTATAATATATTCTTGGTGTGGGAAGCATTCTTGTTTAAATTTGGTTATTGTTTGTTTTTCATATTTACAAACAACCCATTTTTCTCAGAGGGGGATTCTAGGTTGTGTACAGCAAAACATTAAAAGCACAATTTAAAATCTATAAACATCAGTTATGAATATATCCTTTAATTTTGATATTGCTGCAAGTTTAAGTTCCTAATTACATATTGTCAGAATTAAATTGTTCTTCCATGATTGGGCAAAATTTATTCTTGCTCCTGATTATTTTACTTGCAAAGCAGACTCTGAACTGGCATTAATTCAAGTATCCTTTCCATTTAAAACCAAAATGTGGGTTATAAGTGCTTATTACACATATATACTACCATTATTTCATGATAACATATAAAGCACTCCATTTTCCAATTTGTTATCAAAACAACTTTTGAGGTAGATTGGGCAGACAAAGTATAACCGGCCCAAAGTCAGCTAGTGACTTTTCATAATTAAGATTGGACCTACAGCAATGGCTGTAAGGTCCACTTTTCCCTATTGTAGTTCAAGATCTTACTACACCACTCTCAAACTACCAACTGGTTCCTGGCTCACTGGTACCAATTAAAAATATTTGGAAGGTTCATTAAGTTACCAAATTAATGCAATTGTAATAGTTACAATAGTTGTAACTACACTATGAAATGTCTATACATAATCATACTAATGAAATTTAGATAGCCTTCAGGCCAATATGTATTTACTCCAACTGTTTACCTCTCACCTATCAAGATATTAAGCTTCCAGGCAGCAATATAAAAAATTATAAATAAGAAGACTATATGAAAACGTTCTACTAGTCACATAACAGTAGTTATCAGCCTAGGGTGGGGCAAGAATCTGCCATTCCCAGAAATGTAAGTAATATATCCAAGCAAGGGGACTTTTCCAGTAGTTATACTTTGCTTTCCTAGTTTCTCTTCAGGGAATCTTTCCCATGGAGCAGTTTGTGGTAATTGCCCTGTGAGGTGGCATCCTTCCCACAGAATAGTTTGTGGTAATGGGCCTTTGGGATGGGAGGAAAGATCCAACTGAGCAACCTTCATGGTGGGTTGTGTTGTTTTACTGTCTCCCTGGGTCTTCCAACAGATAAGTACACTTCTTCATTAAAGTGCCATTTATATCTCACTAATATTTAGTGCTTTAATAACACCACAGTGGTGATATAGATAATTAGGCAGTTTGCAAGGAACCTATGATCTGTAATGGGTTGATGATTATTTTTGTTATCCTTAAAAACAGCAGGTTCATCCAGGGATACAGCCATTCACTGATGTAATTAAGTTTAGAGCCAATACACTATGTGTCAAACATTTTAATAATACCATGTTTTGCCATCCACTGCCAGTTTTAAGGATTATTGTGGGGCAAATAAAAAAAATGCTCTCTTTCAAATTTTAATTTTAGAAATTAAATTTTTGAAAAAGACTTTCTTGTTTAAAAGGATTTGACAGTCATAAAAACAGAAACACCTAACTCATGCTTTTATAAATTTTAAAAGTGACCCCAATAATGAAGCACTAGAAAATGACTTTGTGGCATATTTGCCAAAATAACTCATAGAAAAAGGGAATCAGTTTTGTGTAATTGTTTTTGATTTAAAAATATAGAAGAAAATTAGCTGCCTTTGTATCAGCCAATCAGCTATGTCATAATGCATTCTACCAACATCTACCCACACCATTCTATATTTAATGTATCTCATATGAAATGCTCTCTATATACGTGGATTTCATTCTAGCTGTCAGATTTATAAAGGTTTTATATTGCATGAAATTCTCCTCTAGAACATCTTTCAAGAGTTGCTTGGGGAAATACCAAGACTGCAGTATAGCAAACTATCTTCTAGAATTAAATATATGTAGGAAATATTTTTTAATATAGTGGCCAAACAACCACTTGATTATCATTAAATAATTTATTGATGGGTATATTTTATGCTTACATTAGGATTAGAATTTTTTTTTAATTTTCAACAATGTATTCAACAAAAACCATTTTGCTGATCTTTTTGAGAACATTTTATTCATAGATATATTAATTACTAGACATTAATTCTTTACTATATGACAAAGTGATGGATTGGATTAAGGCTTTATAAGGACAAGTTGATTGGACTACTGTACGTTGCAAATACGATAGGATGACAAGATTAAGCATGAAATCTGCTGAATTTGCAACTTGGTAAAGAAAGAATTAAGACCCATTATTTCAACAGTCAAGTCTAAATAATTTGACATATTATGAAGCACTGTGAAATACTGTGCTACGCTGTGAAATAAAAATGAAATACCAATTTCATAATTTAATATTTTACAATAAATGCATATATTTTAGAAGTGAAGTAATTATACTGTCAGGCCTGCAGCGATTCCTTTAAGAATCTTTGGCCTGCCACACTCTTATTAAGGGGGGGGGGGGATTTAGCAAAGGATAGAATGTGTTGTTTTCAAAATAAAAAATTCCTTCCTAGAAGCTCAAGGTCATCTTTTGTCTCCCAAACCTTTACACCTGACCGGAAGTAGACACCAGCGTGGAAGAAGAAGATTGGACCATGTGATGGACTGTGAGTGTGGGGGCAAGATCATGAACTTTTAACTGGGTGGGATTCTGATGTAACGTCCAGAGTTGGAATCCCCATAGCACAATGCCAACATGCCTGCTTTATTAAATTGGAACTTTAAGCATAGTTTTGCCTTCGACTCTGATTTAATTCTGCATGATATTTGAAACGCTAACATATACATGCAATACCATTCCATAGTATTTGACAGGTCTTTAACAGTTCCTCAAGCAGACGCAGAATGGTCATTGTTCAGGGCTATTCTAATGCATCTTTTATGGATCAGGGAATATACTAGATGGTTTCTAAGGTCCCACAAACTCTTGTTACTTTATTGTGAGTAATAAGATCAGTAAAGTTGGAAGAAATCTATTTTAGTAAATATGATCTCATCTATTTAGGAACCTGATAAGCATTGCAATGGTAGTTCTTTCCTTATAGAATCTAGCCTTAAATAAGCCACATTGATTTCATTATCCAAACAGTCATCAGAAGAATAAGGCTATTACACTGTCACTAATGCTTCTTCCCATTACTATCAGTTGTCTATCAATTCATATCAAACTCTGACTTGTCTCTGACTCTCAATTTTGAGCCCAAGAGAGTTACTCTTGCCTCCCTACAAACATAAAGTTCTACCCTGGCGGAAAAATCAGAATTTTATACTATCATCACAGTTTTCATAGGAATTTATATGTAAATAAATTTTGACAGTCAAGCTATTTGCATCAAAGGTGAAAATGTTTTGCAAAACAGATAAAAAGACAGCAAGTACTGATTTTTTTATTTGGAGTGGGAGAAGCAGCAATTCCTTGTTAAAGTTAAAATATTCAAGAGCTGCCATAACTCAGAAGAAGGTCATTGAATTATGATTTTGTAAATTTCTATTAGTAAACTGGCAAAAGCACTGATCAGGTTAATATTTTCCCTGTTTGCTTGCTTGCAGTATTCTGAGGTCAGTGGGAAGGAAGATGAAGACATTCTAGAAACATTACAATGGAAGCAGTACTATTCAAGTTCCTTGGAACATGAACTTTGAAAATTTCAGTGGCTATTAGGGATATTCCATATGCCATGGTTCGTAAAAAAAAAACTTTCTTTCATAACCATTAGGAACCAAATAACTTACTAGTTTTATTACTGTGTATTTCAAATCTAAAAGTTAACTCTCTAATAAACCCATGAAAAAACGAATCTAATGTACTGCTATCAGTTCCCAACATGGTAAAATATCACTGATGTGATATCCTCATTTCAAAAAATATATACCAAATTGATTATTTATTATGGAAATAAAATTCTTTCTTTAAAAAAAGTCCATAGGGAATTCCATACCTAATGTTTTCATCTTTTAAAATAGCCTATGAAGAGAAAGAATGTGAAAAGAGACTGCCAAAAGTAGTGGATAGCTTTTACCTTTTATGATCAGCCATCAATAAGACTAGTACTTGGTGAGCAGCTATGAAGGCCTTGGAAAAGATATTCAAATGCTGTGATATGTCTATACTGAGAAATATCAGAATGATGCAAGCATTGTTGTTCCCTATGACGCTCTATGGAAGGGAAAGTTGGACTTTGAAGAAATAGGATAGGAAGAACATTTGAATTTTGGTGTTGGAAAAGCCTCCTAAGAATACCATAGACAGTCAAGAATACTAATCAAAAAAATCTGCAAACAAATCAACCCAGAGCTATCACTCAAGGAACAAATTATCAGGGCAAAATTATCATACTTCAGATACATTGTGTGAAGCCTTAACTCTCTGGAGAAGGCCCTAATGCTGCAAAAGGTGGAGGGAAAGAGAAGAGGATGACTAGCTGCAAGGTAGAGGGACTTGGTTAGAATGGTGATAAGTGCGCCACTTCAAGATGTAAAGACAGATCATCATGGAGATAAATTATCTATTTGGTCACTAAGAGTAAACAGCCATCTAATGGCACAAATTTAAAATAAAAAAAAACTCTTAGTTGCTAATACATTTCCTGGGCATTTTGACTTAGTTTGTTTTTCCTATTCCTACTATTTCTTTGCATGCTCCCTGTTTGGTGAATTTGCTTATGCATATATGAAACCTGGACTGCAAGTTATAATCGAAATAAACTTAGTAGATTGCAATCTTAAATACATTTGTTCAAAGCAAAAGAATGCTAAGTGTTGCAGCCATTCCTTATTCCTGCTCTTAATCATTTTGATTGGCTTCTCTGTACCATTTCCAACTTTGCAATATCCTTTTAAAGGTGATTAGAACTCTGTATAACATTCCAGCCAGAGTCTCATCGCAGATTACTATAATAGCATTATCTCGATCTTCAATTCTCTTTGTAATGATTCAAAAGTGGGAGGTTGCCATTTTCACAATTGTTTGACATTTTCATCATTTTGTGATGCCAAGATCTCTTTCTAGATCAATCATTGCTATGTGAAATTTTATTGAAGTATAGGTAAAGTTTGGCCACTTCACTGATCAAGCCTACTTCATATTTACATTACAGTTTAAAAGCACCTATTTCTGGAGGAATCCCTCTTTGCATATCTCCTAAGTATAATTGTCCTTTTATTCCTCTGCTTGCTATTTTGTAACCAACTGCCAATTTATGAAAGCACCTTTCCTCTTATCACACAGCTGCTGAGTTTGCTCAGGAGTCTTTCTTGTAATATGGTATGAATATGCAGTGAATTAATATTTTATGATTTCTAATTTTGTGTTTTACATAGCCTAAATAACATAAGAATAATGTTGTAAGTAAATTGACAATATTCCACTGATAAAAAGTAGAATTTCCTCATGTTAGAATAGTGCAGCTTTCTAATGGATTTTCATCATCAGCTGAATATTGGGAATACAAAATGACTTAATTTAAAATGTTTAAACAAGAGTTTTTAACATATTTTTAAAAATCCTATTTAAGTTCCCCACCCCCAAAGAATACAAACAGAATGAAACCTACTTTAAGTAGTTTATGGGGAGGGGTAGTCTGTTATTCCCATATGTCTGTTAAATAAAAAAGGATGTCATCATAAAAAGTTTTGTCATTTATATAATTATAGCATTACATCAATTGTAAACATGCAGTAGTTTACAGTAAATATGATGTACAAATAATATAAACTAAACTTTTATTCATTTAAGCTTAACTCCTGAGGACTTTGCCTATTAGTACAGTGTTGTTTTTAACATCTCAGTCTAATACTTAATGATGTACTCACTTATTTATTATATTTTAAAGCACCCAATAGTCAAATATTTCTAGGCAATTAACAACAAAGCAAAGAAGGAGGAGGAGGAGGAGGAGGAGGAGGAGAAGAAGAAGAAGAAGAAGAAGAAGAAGAAGAAGAAGAAGAAGAAGAAGAAGAAGAAGAAGAAATCCAATTCAAATTAAAACATAAATCAAACCAAATAAATATAAAAATGCCACACAAATTAGGTAGCTGCAGCAAGGTCATCATGAAAATCTAAAATACACAAATTCAAATACGATTACAGTATGAAAAAATTGCCACTGAGGCTCTGGCTTTTCCGAACAGCTAAAATAGTGCCACTTAATTGGGCAACAGAAAAGAAGAGGCATCATTTTTAGCCTCTCCCTTTTGAAAACTTGGAGAAATGTTAGAGCCGACACCGGTGTCATCACAATTCACTTTAAACTATTGGATCACTCCATGGGGACCTCTCCAAACATAATCTTTAGGCAATTAAAAACTGAGAGATGAAATACATTTTTAAACATACTTATAAGATTTTTAATTACTTCTATGTGTTACATGCTGTATTTCTAGGGTTTGGTTATACATTTACAATAGTAGCACCACATGTCTTGTAAATAATTCATTTATATTATTCAGCAAAACACAGCTAGTTTTAGATAACAAATAACTAATTTGTTCTGTAGAAATAATATGATCCAAAGCAAAGATGTAGATTTGGCCTACAGTGCAAATGTTAGAATAAGCAGCTTGTCTATGCAATGTAATTTCCTGTTCCCCAAAACCATTAAACATAGCGTGCTTCTTTTCTTATCTCTTTCTGTCCAGTCAAGTTCTGTCTTACTTGATATGCCATTGCAAAGCTAGTAAAATCTCTCATATTTAAAACAGAGCAGTAATGAAATAGAACAGGATATTTCATTCAAGGTCAAGAAGGAAATAGATCAAGATAACAAGCTGTAACTGTGCTATGTTCTGACTCTCTTGCTTATAAATATTCAGAAAGCGTTGGCTATTTGTTTTTCAGGTTACAAATGCATGCTTGTAGCTGTTGCATACCAATCAAAATCAACAGATAATCTAATACAAATACAGTGCATTAAGATATTGCTATATAAATGATTAATTAATAACAGCTATAAGCAAATGCTTAAGATTTTATCTTAAACAGAAAGCAAAGAGTTAACCCAAGCATAAATGTATACCTTGGCAAGTCTGATGGTTCAGAGTTGTTGATCCAGATTTTGTTTTCAGAGCAACATTGGAGTGAAGACAAATGATATTCCTCAGGTTACCGCCAATGAGAAATCAGTCTCGAGTGCCAGAAGCTCGATCTTCTGTATTTACACACCCATGTGGTGTTGCCTGACGGGGTACTATAATTTCTTCTAATTCTTTAAGAGTCATAGAAGGGAAGGGAGGGAAATAGAGAAATTCTAAAGTCACTTGTTTGGTTGATTCATAATAAAACATATGAAAGCATTTGATAGAATAAAATGTTGCCAGAAGAAAGAGAGCTTCTGATAATATGTATTATCACACGTGACACTGTTTTCAGAATAATACTTGAATTCAAGAATTCAAGTGCAGGACAATTAAATTTTTCTTTAATATTTTTTTTCTGTGATATAATTACAAATGAAGAGAAATTTATTGTAATTTGAAATGGCAAGTATAAATTGACATCAGTACCAAACCTTCAAATAATACATTCAAAACAAATGTGTATTGTTCAAATTACAGGTTTAAAATTTAAAACCTAAAATTTAAAACCTAAAAATTTAAAACCTAAAATTTAAAACCTAAATATTGTTCTAAATAGAACAATACACCTACAATTTCATGCCTTGTATGTTATGATTCTTCTGATAATTTTTTCAGTTAAGCATAGATAAGCACAATGCACTGGGAAAGAGAGCCCCATGTGCAAAAGATATAAATGCAAATAGAAGGCAAGAAGACATAATTAACAAAGGACAGAGAATTCCTCTTAGGGTATATGTAATTGCTGTGAAATCATAAATATAAATTATTTCCAAAGTACACTTCTTAAAATGCTCAAAGATCTCTTTACTATGTGATATATTAGTATTGTAACCCATTGTTTATTATATTGCAAAAATATACCATTCCCAATATTGGTAGCACCCTACTTCATAATTATTCATCAAAGATGTATTTGCCTAGATCATAATGCTTGAATGTATAAACATTTCACTTAAATATTCAATTAAAAAGTTATTCTGTATAGCACCATTGATAAAAAACTTAAGCATTCTCTGCTTTAGAGAGAATTGGCTTAGTTCACTTTGATCTATGATTAGTTCTTTGAGAAGAACAAAGGATAAGATCTGCCCAATACTTGACTTTGATCTGCTTCAAGAGAACTATGAACTGAAACCATATGTTTTTGAGACTGATCTGCGGAAAGATCTGAGCTCTTTGCCTATGCTGTTTATGATGGGCTTGTTTGGAAAACCCTTGTCAGCTGCTAATTATGTTTGCCAATATTTTATGCCTGAATCATAGAAGAATCTTTCTTCTTCCAAGATATGAGGTCCTACCATCATCACTGCTAGAAAGGAGATTCAATAGCACTCCTCTGAAAAATCTCTTTGTCAATTTCGGAGAGAATAAGTAGAATCAGTTTCATAATATGCTTCTTCATTGTCCGTTCTAGTGTGAGGATGTACTTGTAACTCTACTAATCAGTTATCATGAAATCTTGAAAGAGAATTTTTTTCTCAGTTGAGAGCTAGTGTCACTCTCCAAAAAGGTTGTAAATTTTTTTGCTGAATTGCCATTGTTTAATATAATAGTTTCTACTGTTTACTATATTATATGAATCACCCAGTCATGCAGATTTTTTTGTTGGAGTATATACTGCAGTCTTTCTAAATAATTATATTGATCAATGTGGTGATACAACTAATTGTACAATAATGGTACAAATAACTAATGATAGAACTATAGTTAAAGCATTCGCCAATTATACTTGTTAATGCAGTTCCATTTCTGAGTAAAACTAGGGAGTGTTTATGCATCAAAGGTTTTCTATAAACACCATCAGCAATATAGTCCCCTTTCTGGACATCAAACAAAGGTCTTTCTAAGAGTAAATATGAAACAATAGAATTCCACTTCCTCCCACTCATTCAATTGCTCACTCACTTGCTTCTTCCTAACAATTCAAGAGACAAGTGAACTTCAACTTGTGTTCTTCAACAAAATGCAATGTCACTTCACATTAACAAAGCAAAGGTTATTCAGACAAATTTGGATGATGCTGTATTGTTGCAGTTCTAGAAATATTTCATCTCCCCAATATTTAATTGCTAATGGTTCATATTTTAAAATAAGTCTTCTTCTGCATTCCAAATTAGAATGGAATCATTTTCTTCTGAACATGAAGACCAATCACACTAGCTAAACATTATTGAATTCCAGATCTAAAACCACTGCTCCAAATTTGGAAAAAATGTTTACAATTATGTTCTCTGTACTGTACTCCACTGTGCTTTGCAATTCTGTGTTTTGCTCTCATTTTTCACCCACTAGGATAGTGCAGGTAAAAAGAGAAGGATACTAAGTTTCTGATTGTAAGAAACCAGAGGGTTGCATTTCCAGCCCTCCAAGGAAGGCCAAGGAAATGATATTTTAATATAAGAGGCAAAGTAGGTTTTCTTTCCAGCTATCATTCAGTCCCAGGCCAGGACTCCTAATGAGCTTTTCCAACTTTGATTAAATACTGGAACAATCAACCACTGAAATGTAAATACGTACTACCACTCTTTCAGTGGTGAGCTTGGAAAGAAGAATTCTGTAATAAAGTTGTGAATTTTGTTTATTATTTTCACTGTATCTTCTGCACTGTTTTTAAGGATCTTTTCCTTCTTGTTTCAGAGGAAGGGATATTATTCAGAGAAAATACAATATATTCAGAAAGAGTAACATATAATACAATATAGAAGTCTGCGTTGACATCATTTCTCCAACTGATCCTTTTTTCTTCTTCCTTTACCCACACACTTCCCTCTTTTAATACCTTATACCTGTGTTTCTTTTTTTTTTTTTTTT